CCCCTCAACATATTTTCTGGCTCCGTCCCTGAATATATTACGGAGCATATGTTATACTTATATTTAATAAATTACTGAAATGATCTCAATTATAATGATTTTATCACTTTAATTATTGAGTTTTTTTTACTATTAATTTTGTATATATTTTAGTGATTGAATGTATTATTTTGTCCTCTTTTTAAAAAACCTATTTTATTTAGTTAGTATAACTACAATATGCACAAATTTGATTGCTTAAGACATATAAAATTAGAATCCAAAAATCAAAATGATAAAATTCATATAAGTGATTGCAATTTGTATTTATTTAAACTTCTGTAAAACTTATGTGCACAATTTAGAAGTTTACTTTTATCTAATTCGAAAATTGATTTATAAATTATACTTTGTATGTTTCATGTGTTAATGTAATAAAGTCTGCATTTAATAAATTATTGTAGTTCAAATGTATAATTTACTGTTTTTTTAATCATATGGAACGAAAATAAGATGAAACATAAAGAAAACTTAACCCCTATCCAAAGAACTCGTTGATGTTCTAAACGTTAAGACATTGAACTTGTCTCCCATAAAATCTTTTATATTTATTGGGAGATTCTCTATCAATTATACTTAATTCTTAATATTTTACACATTCAAATTATTATTAATCTTTCTCTAAGCAATAAGGAAAGTTAGTTCTCAAATGTCATAGTCACTAGTAGATTGTTTTAAAAAAATAAAATTGCATTATTCCCCGTGAAATTTATAATTCTATAATTTATCTTACTTAACAGATTATTTGCAACTTAAAAATCAAAATTCATAATTGCTTCGTATTGAAACTGTTATAAATATAATTAAGTGTAGACATTATTAAGTAGATTATGTAACGGTCATAACGGTTATAACATTATTATCACTATTATTATTTATGTTACATTTGTATATTCTTCTCAAAAGGTTGAATCTCCAACTCCAATGACTCCCCATACCCCGATCCGGCAGATCATAATTTGTATATTATATATATAGTATATAGTATATAGTATATACATGTTGTATCATTTGTACAAGGGATGGATGTTGGAATAAAAATATCTCTATTACTTTGTCCAGTTCATTTCCTTGCACTTTGTCTCTCTCGTTGGTCATACTATAACAGGGCGTTTGGTTGGTGGGATTTTAAATTTCCTTCCCACTTAATTCCCACCTAATTCCAAAGGCCATTAAATTCCGTAGTTTGGTTGGAGGGAATTTCAATTCCATGGAATTGTAATTCCCCAATTTTCAAGGAATTAAAATCCCATGCCCCCTCTGGGATTTTAATTCATGGGATTTTAAGAAGAAAAAAAATACTGATGAGACAAAATTACTATTCTCTTTTTTAACCTAAAATGAATGTCTGCTCTTTCCTTTTAACAACAACAATGGGCATTTTGGACTTTATATTACTTATTCCCTTTCAATTCCTATGTATACCAAATATTGGAATTAAAATTCTCAGTAATTCTATTCCTGTCAACCAAACACTGGAATTTAAATTCCCACTTTATTCCCAGTAATTCAACTCCCATGGAATTACAATTCCTTTCCCACATAATTCCCCCTCCAACCAAACGCCCTGTAATTTGTTTTATTGGGGAACACAACGAGCTAAAAAGAAACAATCTTATCTTATCTTACTCTATATAATAGCAAAATATTTTTTGCCAATCAATTTCCCGCCTAAATGAAATTGCATCATTTTAAGGTATTAAATACCAATTAAATGAAATTGCATCATTTTAAGGTATATAATATTTTCAAAAAAAAAAAAAAAAAAGGTATATAATGCAGCATACTTATCTATTTTCAATACATGTTAATCTTCAATTATTGTTATTTAATGATGAAGCAGGTAATACATTCCAGTATTTTTAAGTTAACATTTTATTATATAAATTAATTTATTGTTTACTGAAAAAAAATAGAGTATCCGATTTTAAAAAATAAGATTAAGCTGTTTTTTTATTCTTACAATTTTGTTGATCGACAACAATTTAATTGTTCATTCTAATATAGTTTTGAGAGGGAAAAATTAAAAAAAAGAAAAAGTTACTAAATTGAAAAAAAGTTTTTTAAAATTTAAATCAGTTGCATGAACAATAATATTGGAGAGACGAATAAGTTTAAACAAATAATTATTGAACTGATATTAAGTAATTAAAAAATATGATGTATTTCTTAATTTCGTTTTAAACAATAAGTTTTACCTGAAGATGATACTGTATTTATTAGTTTGTTTTAGATCTGCTCCGGTCACCCGATTTTTCAGATCGGCATTTGGGGAAGAAAGCAATTCCACAATGGCCAAAAGCTATGGTCAGATTATCTGAAAAGTTTTTTAGCAGTGGATTACTTGGACTTGCGATGATTTAAAATCAAGTGTGTCAAGACGCCAGAAACATAGAAGGTTCGCGTAAGTCAGTGAACATTTTAGAGAGAATGACGAACGCAACAGAGTAGACGGAAGCGCAATCGTCAAAAAATATAAATTAGGATTTGGTAATCAGGTTTTATAATTGGGTTAATGGGCTCGGGTATTGGGCTGAAATGTAACGTAACTGGGTTATATGGACAGATAATTAAATATTTATTGGGCTTAGCATTGCAGGTTTTATTTTTTCTTTCATGTCATGAAATATTTCATATTTAGTTTAGATTTAGATATGTTGTACGTATATAATTATTATTATTAAGCAATGTTTAAGAAAATATTTTCGTAGTTAGTTTCAATGTATGATGATGAAACTGTATTTTTTATTTATATATTGTCAAGTATATGTACTATAGGCTTTAATTGCAAATCATATTAATAAATGTTTTTATATATAAGAAAATTTAATTTCATAATTTTTTATTGTATATTGTTTGATTTCCTAATTTTTTTTTTTTTTTTATAAAAATGTGTGTGTGTGTGTGTGTGTATATATATATATATATATATATATATATAATTATTTTAATATATACTTTTTATAACACAATTCTTTATAATATATGCTAACAGTATGTGATGTTCGATATAACAACCAATTTAGTATTGTTAAAGAAAAACACATTTCAGAATAAGTTTTAATTTCATGATTAATATTTTATTTTATTGTTTTTAAAATATTATCAATAATAAAGTTACTTAAATTTTATGCCGTGCATCGCACGGAGCAAAAACTAGTTACAACAAAAACAGTATATTAGAAAACAAAAATGTCCACACACAGACCTCTAGAGCTCTTATGGAAGATATATGATCAAGACATCCTCCAAAACACATAAACAATATACAGAGTATATAGTTGTTGCCCGCATGACTTAATTCATTGGTTTAGTAGGTAATATTTAGGAGAAGAAATATATACAATTGTCACTTTTCAAAGTTTCATTAAAGACGGACTAATTTATAAATTTGTGCATACTCAAAGTACTAAAAGTATAACTAATATCATGATTTATTAACAAAAAAACCTTTTGTTTATATAATTAGTTGATAATACATCACTTTATTCATGAATAAACACAAAATGTTCCTTTTAAAAATCACAATACTTTAATTTATTACTTTAATATAATTTATTTCATAACAATAAACTATGGACTATAATATTGAATATTGAACATATCATAAAAAGGTACTTCGAGTATTTATTTTGTTATTATATGTAGTTATGTACAATTGTACACTTTCTTTCTTTTTTTTTTTTTAAAGGAGCCTGTGCGGCATTTATTCAAAATATGCTGAAATAGCAGCTGTGGACTTGAGTCCGCATACATAACTGTCGTCTGAGTAGATGCAATAGATGCTAGAGTATGAGCTAAATAATTATCTAATCTAGGAATATATCGAATTAAACAGTTCTCAAAAGCCAATATACTAGCCCTGCAGCTATCAATAGCATAGCCCAGGTAAGACCGTGGTGATCGAGTCGTAGATGATAGATATTGCTGTAGTACTGAACAATCTGTGAAGAGCTAGATAGAGTTTATACCGCGATTCCTCAACCATGACAAAACTTCCTTGCACGCTAGGGTCTCCGCCATTAAAGGTGTAAAACATTCTGACATAGGGGTGGTCATTGCGGCAATATATCCTCCTTGCGCATCTAGAATAATTGCACTTGCTGCCGCCTTGCTCGTTCGTGGGTCGTATGCCGCGTCGAAGTAGCACATTAGGGGAGTCACATGCGGCAGATTAGCTGTTGTACACTTTCTTTTTAAAATACTACAAATATAATTTACTTATACACAAATACTACGAATTATATACTTCAAATCTAAAAATATATTTATTTTGATCCGATCCGGTGTAATGCTACGTATGATTTTTTTTTTTTTTTTTTTTTTTTTTTAAATACGAATCCATGTTATCAATTTCAACAGAATATCAAACTTACAATCTAACCAACATATATTCAACTCCATTTACATATTCATTTCCCCATTTTCACCCTTATTTATCATTTATTATACACACACACATATATATATAACGTATTTGGATTCTAATGTATATTTATGGTTAAGACATCAAATCAAGAGGTTACTCATTTCAATTATTATATATTTGATTTGGATTTGGATTCCAATGATGGTTCGAACGTTTGAACCAAACCAGTTTCGGTAGAACTGTCAATCGTGGAAGAGAAATGTAAAATAAGTCTCATTAGTTTAGTAGGCAGTATTTAGAAGAAAAAATTACAAAATTTTTGTGAGTTTGGAGTTTGGTAGGCAGTATTCGGAAGAAAAAATTACAAATTTCTTGTGAGTATTGGGATTGAGTTATTGAATCGTGATTTACATTATTCTACATGTTTTATCAGAGTAAAGTGTGGGGTCATTGGGATTCGCATTTCTGAAGAAAATTGCAAAAATGAAAAAGAAAAGGATCTGACGGTCGAGAGTGGTGTCTTGGGCTTCAATACATTATACATGTGTGTTACAATGTGATACAAAAAAAAAAAAAAAAAAAAAAGAAAAAAAAAGTCTAAAACCCCTCATTTCCATTCTAAAATCTCAGCCCAGTCTGGAGTCTTCCCCCCCTCTTTTAACTTGCTAGTTGCTACCCTGGCTAACCTTCTCTCTCAGCCATCGCCGGCGACGGTTAGTCTATACAAGCTCAACATTAGACAAATACGTAAGCTTTCTTCATATTCTCCGGTCGACTTTCTCATCCCGTAAGTCTCGTGGCTCTCAATCCATATTATATTGCTCTTCAACTTTGTTTTCTGCAATAGTGTGCATATATGTATTTGGTACGTATATCGGTATATGCATATAAGTAATCCATTTTTTATATTACGGTTTTCGTTTTGATATTATATATTTATTTTTGTTTCTTTCCGATAATTGTTCTGCTGAGAAGGAATAGCTGTTGTGCTTCTTTTTCGGATCACTTATTCAGTTAAGATTAGATTGAAGTAGTTTCTCTTTATCGACCGCAGATAGAGATGATTTTTAGCCATTTTCCATTCCTTGGTCAGGATTCAGTTTAATATTACATTTTCATAATTTCATGTTTTCCGTGTGCACTTGTTGTATACGAGTTTAAATCTCTTGGTTTCTTCAAAATAGTGTTTATTGAATTAGAAACATGTATAGTATACATATATATGTTTATGTATTTTTGTAATAAAAGATAAAAGATTGTGTTTTGCATTGAAAGTTCTTGGAATTTTTCATTTTCCCAATTATACTGAAATGGTAAAATAACCAGAGGATCTGAAAACCATTGACATTTGATTCCCCTCCCCTCCTTTAACTAGCATTTGAATTTAACCGTTGTTTTAAGAAGAGATGGTGTGGTGTTATAGCTGGAAATCCAGTCAGTTTGATATGTGATTTTTCTGTGTGTGTCCTAACTAGCTTAAATTAGTGAAGTGCTGATTGCCGTATAATGCAACTCTGGTTCTCTCTGTGAAGACGCAAACATAATGGCCTGTCGAGCTCTTTTAAGGAGAAGGAATGTTATTTCTGACTATTTGGAGGCTTCTGCTTGGTCAATTCAAAATTTTCAAAAGTTCAGTTCTAATCAGTCTACTCGTTATTCTGGAGGTTTCACCTCTGTTGGAAACCATATTTCTCAATGTTCAGATCGTGTAGAAGATCATGGAGAAGTTTCAAGCTTTTCAACATCAGGACTTTTATGGCATAGATCTGGTGGAATCACATTACATGGCCATGGAAATGTTGGAATCACAATGCCCGTAAGATTGGGTCTCATCTCACCATTGGGACACACGTTGCTGCCTTACACTGTACGTTATTCTTCAACAGCAACTGCAAAACAACCTGATAGTGGAAGTGATGATGAAGATAATGATCTGGTTGCCAAAAAGAAAGAAGCTTCTCCAGAGGAATGCGATCAAGCTGTTGAAGGGCTAAGTTTTGCTAAAGCAAAAGCAAAACAGTTCCAAGAGTCTCAGAAGGTTGCTAAATCTGTTTTACAAAGAGTATGGGCTACACTTTTGGGTATTGGTCCCGCTTTACAAGCTGTAGCTTCCATGAGCAGGTTAGAAAATTTTGTAAACACAATCTAGTTTACCTGAATGGATGGTTATGGTTTGATTTGGACCATTTGGTGTCATTATTTTCTTTGCCCAGGGAAGACTGGGCCAAAAAGCTCACTCATTGGAAAAAGGAGTTTATATCCACACTGCAGCATTATTGGTTGGGTTCTAAGCTTTTATGGGCTGATGTGAGGATCAGTTCAAGATTATTGCGAAAACTTGCCAATGGGAAGAGTCTGTCTCGCAGGGAGAGGCAACAACTCACACGGACTACAGCTGATATTTTCAGGCTGGTTCCTTTTGCTGTTTTCATCATTGTCCCATTCATGGAATTCCTGCTGCCAGTATTCTTGAAGTTATTTCCAAACATGTTACCATCAACGTTTCAAGACAAGATGAAAGAACAGGTATTGTTCTACTCTTCTGTTTATCTTTGAAGTGTTTTTCCTCCTTGTAGCACCATCAGTCTTCTTGGATGCACACTTACAGTATGCTTATTGTCGACTGATATAATTGTACCATTGACTCCACTCACGTGGACTGGAGAATGGCATGTCTTAATAGGTTGTCCCGCTCTCTATATTTTGTAAATTGTCTTATTAGATCGTGTTGGTCATACTCAAATCATTTTGCTAAGACCAATCAGGGAACATATTGAACTTTTTGAAAAATGTGGGCTCCGAAAGGAATACACTTACTAGGCTTCAGAGTGAAAAAATGGTTTGTCAGTTTGATAATATATGCTGTGCACATGACCTTATGCATATTTTTATGCTTTGTCTTCCTTCTGATTATTTCATTATTGAACCAATGCATTTTATTTGCATGGTTGAACTTTAGGAAGCATTGAAAAGGAGGTTAAATGCGAGGATAGGATATGCGAAGTTTCTTCAGGACACTGTCAGAGAAATGGCAAAAGAAGTCCAAAATTCTAGGAGTGGAGAAGTAAAGAAAACAGCAGAAGATCTTGATGAGTTCCTGAGCAGGGTAGGACCTTCAAACTCATCCATGATATGTAAACCTACTTCCTTGCCTGCAAAAATAGAAAAAAAGAAAATGAGATTAAAATTTTGATATTATGAACCTCTCTTTCAGGCTAGAAGAGGTGCTCCCATGTCAAATGAGGAAATTTTGGGTTTCGCTAAATTGTTCAATGATGAATTGACGCTGGATAATATTAGCAGGTTTTGTGTATATCTCATTTTTATCTTTTAATAAACTTGACTTCTTCTTGCTAGTCAATATGATCTTGTTTAGTGGAGATATATAGAATGATAAGTGACACATTTCTGTTTCAGGCCTCGATTAGTAAGTATGTGCAAGTACATGGGAATCGGTCCTTTTGGAACAGATGCTTATTTGCGCTTTATGCTTCGAAAAAGATTACAAAGGTAAGCCATATGTTAATCTTGACTGCCAGGTAATCAATTGTGGCATGTGCCAAATTTCAAACTGTCCAAATTGAATCCCATGATTATTTTCTTTATACAAATAATAAATAAATCCATACATTTATTAATGCTTTGCACTTGGGAAGGTGGCCAAAATAAGGTAAAAACCTGTACTCAAGGCTTCAGAAATGTTGAAAATAAATCCACCTCTTGTTTCTTTATTTACACGCACAAAAAAAATCCAATAAAGGAGAGCTGTTATATCTCACTTGCAATTATAATTGCATATTTACACTTTTCTTGATACAAAAATGTATAGAAAGAGAACAGGAGAGATCTACCTCTTATTTTTCACAAATAACTATTGATCACTTTACAATTTATTGAGATTGTAGGCAAGACCGAGTGTTCGACTACTAAGTATGCATTGATTCCCTGGAATTATATATAGATTACTAACTAATATCTTATAGTTTAGCTGAAAAATATACTCCGTATAAAAATAACAGGAGAGCCTGTTACATTCCACAAATAGCTATGATTGTATGATGATTTACTGAAACAAGTATTATGGTGTGGAGGTTCAACTATTATGCAATGAGTCAGTGTATTTATATATGGATTACTGACTTCTCATGGTTTTAGTTAACACTGCTGCTCTTAGATGCTGTAGCTCTTAGTGTTTGACTACCCTGTGTTTTGGTTAATATTTCACCCTGGTAAATGATAACTGAAACACTTTACAGCAAATTGAGTGGAAAGTATTAGTAATGCAAGCACATAATAATTTGTTGGATAAGATGGCATTAAATGCGACTAGTATAATGGAAAGGCAATCCCTGTGTGTGCTGTGGAAATGCAGGTTTTGAAGGGCTAGATATTACTTGTAGACTTCACTAATACTAACCTAATACTATTGCTTTTACACCCCTAGTGCTAAAAATTTGTTTCAGAAAGTCTCCTATGTTGCGTAGGGAAATAAAAAATCATGCATTGTGCCATGGATTCTATTTTGCACATTATATGGAATTGTTTTGTGTGTACACATCCTTTTTGTTCTTTTTTACTGTGTACTATTCCCCTTAAAGCCTCTGCTTAATTGGTGCTGAGATGTTTGGAATTGAACTTTTTATCTTGCTAGGATTAAGAATGATGATAAGTTGATTCAAGCTGAGGGTGTGGAGTCTCTATCAGAGGCTGAACTTCGTGAGGAATGTAGAGAGCGTGGCATGCTCGGGTTGCGTTCAGTGGAAGACATGCGCCAACAGGTGTTCCCCTAATATCCTGTCTCCTTCAAACTCTTCCCCTTTGTTCCCTTGTTATTATAATTAAAGCATGTGCTCCATCTCAACTAAAAGCCTAAGCTTATAGTTGGATTGCACATTAATGGCTATATGCTCAACACGCCCCCTCACGTGTGCGGTGGGTTCCAAGCAACACGTGGATATGGGGTGACGTAGAGATTCGAACCCATGACCTTTGGTCTGGCTCTGACACCAAATTAAAGCATGTGCTCCATCTCAACTAAAAGTCTAAGCTTATAGTTGGATTGCACATTAATGGCTATATGCTCTAACAATTATTATTATTATTATTATTGTTATTATTATTATTATTATTATTGGTGTAAACAGACTTGTGCCACTGTTTGATTTGAACATTTTAAAACTGCATAAAGCCATAGCATTTGTGATGTAAAGCTGTTAAATATTTTCTTCTCTACTTCACGAAATGTGTCCTCTCAAAGCAAAAAAAGTTAAGTGGCTGCTGTTGTATTGATACTGTTATACGTCTATCTTTATGCTTTCATGCTTCTAATTCAATTGTTTCATTCTGCTGCAGCTTCGTGATTGGTTGGATTTGTCACTTAATCACTCAATACCATCTTCACTGTTGATCCTTTCCAGGTACATCTGAATATGTCTCCCTTTCACACATGCACACATGGGCAGAAAATTTGCTAATTTTGCTAGACCTGAAAGTGTGCCATGGTACTTGGCTTTTTCAATTATGCTGTATACAGGGCTTTCATTGTGTCTGGAAGGTCCAAGATTGAAGAGGCTGTAGGAGCGACATTGTCTTCACTTCCAGATGAGGTTGTTGACACTGTGGGTATCACATCCTTGCCATCTGAAGATTCTGTTTCAGAAAGGAGGAGGAAATTGGAGTACCTTGCTATGCAGGATGAGCTGATCAGGGTTAGTAAAGTTCTCCCCGATTTCCTACTATAATGACACCCTATTTGATGTTCCCTACTTTTTTTGTTGTCTGATAATTTTAGCCCAAACTGTGGTACCCTGCCCATGTTAAAGCTGTTTTGGTGGGTCACATTTTAGAATATAGGTTTTGCCAGGTTGAATTTCAACTATAGGAGGGGTCATAATCCGTAAACGGGTTGCATAGGATCCAACTTTAATTTTGTACTAGCACATATTGTTTCTTTATTGAACTTCTGTTTTTTATTTTCTTAAATGGGTTGAACGCTTCGTTACTTTTGTGTAAGCTCAGTATGTTCTATTTTGCTAATACAATATATTAACAAAAAGATCATAAAAAAAATTTAGCTGAAAAATGTTAATTGTCATTAGATCAACCTGAGTTGACTTGCTCTTGATAGTTGATAGAACATGTCAAATTCACCTGTAATTAATTTTTTATGCTTTGAAGATCTGTTTTTGTTTTTTGTTTTTTTTTTTTGTTTTTTTGTTTTTTTTTTTGTTTTTGTTTTTTCCTCCATCTATTCCTTTTTGAATCCAGCCAAATCCCACTATATTCCCACCTGTAGCATTAAGCATTTATTTTATTATGCATGTAAAAGTGCTGAGGGAGGAGCAAAATATTTTCGAGTTGGAAGTAGTCAGGAATAAACTTCTATTCATTGAGCCTTTTGTAGTTCTAATTAGCAATATATATATAATTCTTAGCAATATCACTGTTAATTTAAATAACTCAACTGACATAGGAGGAGGAAAAGAAAGAGAAAGAGAAAGAACAGCAAGCCAAGAAGAAAGAACCTCTTGGCAATGAAGATGTAGCTTTGAAAGAGATGATTATCCCAACAGCTAGAGAAGCACAAGAACAAGCAAGAGCAAGAGCACTTGACAAACAAGAGCATCTATGCGAAATTAGCCGAGCCTTGGCTGTTCTGGCTTCTGCTTCTGTAAGATGGATTAAAGATACTTGACTTTTTATTGTTCAACTCTGCATAGGTTCTAATTATTTCTTTCTTACCATGTCTTTTTCGTGTGAAATGTTACTTGCAGTCTGTGAGCAGGGAGCGGGAAGAGTTCCTAAGGCTTGTTAACAAGGAGGTATATTTTAGTTTTGTTATATTCTAAGATTGGGTCAAGGTCACTCAACTGGGCTATAATGCGCATGGGCCAAACCACACTAAAAGATTGAATCCAATCAATTAGCTAGTCTAACCCATGGCCTTATAAACCCATATGTTCTCGCTTATATTTTCAATGTGGGACTTAACAAGTTTAAAGTTCGAGTCTTGTAGAATGTTTCTGGTTTTCTGGGAAAAAAATGAAAAAAGTTTTATTTTTGGGTTCAGAATAAACTATTTCCAAATTTAAAAAATAGAAAATGAAAAACATTGCTTTGGGAAACACTTTTTTCATATTTTCTGAATTTTCCAAATAAAAACACACACATACAAATCATTTATAATCAACTATCTACCCCTTCTTTCACCTACTTACCTACCCGCCCACCCACCCACCCATCATTACTTACCTATCCCTCACCATCACCACTACCTCCATCACAATAATCCACTTCCCCTTCTACCCATCGCTACCTGCTTACTTATCCCTACTACCTACCCATTTGCCCTATTTGCACTCCGCTGGAACTACATTTATTACTTAAACTTGGGGAAACTGCTTGTCTCTGTCCAAACATTTTGCACAAAATATAGTGTTTAATTAGCTCCACTATGTTTTCCTCCCCCCTCTGAAATCCTTTGGACCATATATAGGCCAGCTGTCTTTTTTCAGCGTGATACTTTAGTGTGTGCTTATGTGTAGTTGTCAGGCATTATTCTGGTACTCACATAAAGTTTATTATTGCAAATAGAACCTTATTACTCTGGTACTCACAGAAAGTCTATTATTGCAGATAGAACTTTACAATAGCATGGTAGATAAAGAAGGTACTGATAGTGAAGTAGATGCCATGAAAGCATATAAAGCTGCTCATGGAGAAAATGATCAAATGTCTGAAGTTACTGCGCATGATGTGGTGTCTTCTGCACTCGTAGATAAGGTGAGGCTTCTACATGTAAAGCCCTTGTCAACTTGACACTTCCTAAACAAACTCTCTTAGACAAAAGTAAAAATCCCAAAACAAAGAAGTGCTAAATGCTGTGTGGTTTACACATGAAAATAATGGTTAGCTGCTCTGATTCAGGTCGATGCAATGCTTCAGAACCTTGAGAAGGAAATTGATGACGTGGATGCAAAAATTGGTGACCGTTGGCAAATCCTTGACAGGTGAAATAGAAATCAGCATAATATGTTGTCCTTTTTGTAGATGTGGTCTGGTCATCTTTAAGTTTTGCTTATCCTTTACCGCTTTGTCTGTTTTTTTTTTTTTTTGGAGGATGAGGACCCAATCTTAATGTTCCATTGTTCCCTAGGGAGGAATGTGCTTTTCATACTTTGAGTGTGATCAATTTTGTGGATTTCCTTGTGGTCCTGTTTGGTAAACCTTGTGATTATGGATTACTCATAATTCATACTCAACTTCCAATTTAGTGATGGTGTAAATAAGCTTGAGTGTTATACAATACATATCCTATTTCTTAGATTTTCTTTGCAAAAACTTTAGAATGTGGATTATTATTATCTCAATAGTTTTGATTAAATAAGCTTTGCTAAACAATGTGAAGTATTCATCCATGCATCACATTAGATTAGATATTCCGGTTTAGATATAATTAAGTGTGTTGTATTAGTATAAAATAATTATTTTGAATGGACAATAAGTATCTGAACTTTTGACCTTCATTCATAACTGCTGTATACACTGATATTGCTCACATATACAGGGACTATGATGGAAAAGTGACTCCTGAGGAGGTGGCAGCTGCAGCCAAGTACTTGAAGAGAACTTTGGGCAAGGAAGGGGTTCAAGAACTGATTACCAACCTCTCCAAAGATAAAGGTGTGTTTTCATTCTCTATTGTCAATCAATTGCGCATCTTAGCTGATACATATTGCATTGAGGAGATGATAGAATCAAGGACAAGCTTTTCTATCTGCGGTTTAGAAGTAGGCATTAAGGTATACTATACTAGTAAATGACCTTTTAGAATTTAAATATTGGCTAAGGTCTCTTGTACATAATGTTGGAAAATTAATTCAGAATAGAATAATGTACACTGTAGAAATGTATAATTCCTTCAGTAATATCACAGAGACATTTATATACATATTCTACTGCTGAATATACTTTAGACAAGTTGCAGAAAGAGAATAAGAGAGATCTCGTTTAGATTGATACTCTGCTTTCTCACTTCTGCAAGTATGTGTGGATGCAGATGGGAAAATTCTTGTCGAAGACATAGTAAAATTGGGCAGTCGTGTAGAAGAGGGCATGTAGCGAATGAAGATCAACACTCCATTTTACTTTCAAATACGGAGAAACAAAATATTGCACATTTTACTGGGCTGCAACAATCATTTACTTAGGTTTCTGGCTACTTATCACCTGAGGTTGTGGTTCAACTTCTAACCACATATATTTTGTTAGGTATAGAGATTCTATTTTCTTCAGTTTCATATATATATATATATATATATATATATATATATATATATATATATATATATATATATATCAAAAAACCCTTCACAGAAATAGATTGCTACGAGGTGAAAAACCTAGTGCAGAGTACTATGTTGATAGGAATGTAAAAAGAACGAGTCCTTAGAGTATAGTAAGGCTAGGGTATTTATTTTTATTTTTATTTTTATTTTTATTTTTGTATCAGAAACAGTTATTCTTTATTGCATAATGGCATTTTAGACAATGACATAATTTCATAGGAATTGAAGTTTGAAGGCTCATTCCTGTAACTTATAACTTGTGTGTGTCCCATTTGATTTGCGAAAAATATTTAAGGAGATTTTTTTTAAAAAAAATTGCATAAAAAAAGAAATTATCAAGAAAATTGATTTCATTGTTTGGTTGATAAAAAAAAAGAAATTAAAAACATTGATTCCTTTGTTTAGTTGGGTTTGAACTTGTAAAAAATTATGAGTATAAAGATTAATGTCCTTACACAATAATAATAATAATTAAAAAAGTTTGATGAGGGTAAAGTTATTCTACCAAATGAGCAAAGAAAATTTGGTTCATGAAAAAACAAAATACTTTGGTTGAGCAAAGAATGCTTTTTGCTCAAATGTTTAGTAATTCCATTTCTTTTGGAAAATAAATTTTAGGAACCAAACAATAAAAAATAATTTTTTTTTTTTAAATTTTAAGAATTTGATTTTTTTGAAAATATTTTCAATCTAACCAAATATGTTTTTAGTTCTTTAGTCGAAAGCTCAGAATAAAGGGAACATTAAATATTATATTTTCATATTAAAATTATCTTCTCATATTTTTACTATGAAATAATTTTATTTATGAGTGTGGAGATTGGATTTTTTACTTTTTTCCAACTTAATTAAGGAGTGCTTTTATGATCTTACAAAGTTTAATATAGTACAAACAAGATTATTTAGTGAAGAAATCTATAATTAGAATATATGAATATATATATATATATATATATATATATATATATATATATATATATATATATATATATGAAGTAATATAATGTTAGATGCAATATAGCATCTCTAAATAAAAATGTTATTTAGCTTCAAATAGTTTTTTATTGCTAGGACAAATTTTGCTCCATAACAAGTTAGAAAATACAAAGCATAGAATATTTTCTAAACTCCAAACCTCTCATTCTCCCAACCCCAAATGAAGAGAGCATTTGCTAATCTCTCAACCCCAAATCAACAAATGAAGTGAGCATGTACTAGTCGGAATAGGATTTAGCAAAAGCCACGAAATCTTTGATATTCTCATAAGAACTTCCACCTTCACTTGTTGCCTCTTTGGCTAATTCTCTCCATTTTATGACATTTCTTCTAAACTCTTCAGCTCTCACTCCTGTCACTTGCTTTATACAACCCTTAATTTCTTGTCTTGTAGTGATTCCCTCCGCATTCACCTTAACTCGAACTCCAACTTTCCAAACATCCTCAATAAGTTTGGCATTTGTCGGTTGATCTGACATTTGCGGCATGCCGACCATTGGCACACCCAAACACAATGCTTCCAGTATGGAATTCCATCCACAATGAGTCATAAAACACGCAACTGCCTCGTGTGACAAAACTTCAACTTGAGGACACCATTTCACAATGATGCCCTTCTCAGATGTTTTGAGCTTAAAATCTTTAGGGAGTTTAACCAATTCAGATTCTCTTACAACCCATATGAAGTATTTGTTGGATTGAGCCAACCCCCATGCTATTTCCTCCATTTGCTCTTCCGACATCACCACAACACTTCCAAATGATACGTAAACCACAGACTTAGGTTCTCTAATGTCTAGCCATTTCAAATAGCTTTCACTATCCAACTCAAATAGATCAATTCTATCATGTTTTTCATGAAGTGTCTTGTGGAAAATTGGAACCAAGGGTCCCACGCACTTCACTGCCCATTTTTCCGCCATCCAATCCACTACCTAAAACATACACAATTGCATAGTCATTAATTAATACTCCGTATATTATAATATCATAGAACAAATACCAATCAAAGACGTGTCAAAATATGAAATTATTAAGGGTATTTTTATCTTTTTCAAATTCAGATCTCAATTTGAGCATGAATAAAGAAATTTAATTTCGTAAAATAGATCTCAATTCATATAATAATTTTCCTCATTAGGCGGAGTAGTATTAAAGCAAAAAATCCAAAAAAGAACAAAAGAAAAGAAAGTAAAATGACCTGCTTTTCCAGTGAGTGAAATGTGTTGATGAGAAAGCAGTCAGCTTTGGGCATGTTTGAGGCTTGATTGATATTAAACTCTGTAACCTGTTGTACAACATCGGCGAAGTAGGAAAAGGAAGGCAGATCGGCGAATTCCAGTTCCGGCAAGGAAGGCAAACGCAGCAGCTTAGAATCAGAAGCCGGTGCAAGGTGGCCATGGAGCATATGGTAATAGACAGCACAAACAGAAGCAGGTTGAGTAAAAAGCGTAGCCACAAACAACCCATCCGCTTTGCCTACCTCCAAAAGCCACGGCATGAGTGCATCATGCACCAGAACTTTGGGCGACCCCACGGAAGAAGCCGCCTTTTGCTTCTCAATAATGGCGGCGACCCCGTCGGAAAAGGCAGCTCGCCGGCGAGCTTGGTATTCTTGGAAGGTACTGCGCGACAGGTCGGCCACGCCTTCGTTGCCATCGGAAATGAGGTCGAGGGTATGGATGGAGGCCTGGGAAAGGGTGGATTGCATGGATTTTGCTACGGCGTGTGTGAGGACTAAGGTGACTTTAAGGCCTCTAGCAGATAAAGAAGAACAGAAGTGAAGCATAGGGTTTAAGTGACCTTGATATGGAAATGGAACCGCTATAACATCTGTAGGCGTCTCCATATCCGGCATAGCTAGATAGCTTGTTCTTAACTTTAAGTAATTTCTTGCTTCTCCTCGCTGCGATTATATATAGGCAGTATAGTATAGTCGAAGAAGCGGGCGAAACAGTCTAGAATAGTTGTTGAATTGATATATGGATGGGGATACTAGGAGCCGGATGAGATTAGCCTTAGAGTGGTCGGTCAAGTAGTCTCGAACACCAAACCCTCGGACAAGGTGACGAAGACCGAAGTGTACTTTTCAAGGGGGGCTCTACAACATTAAGTGACTGTTTGGTTTGTTGTAAATACATAAGCATTTGAGCGCATTTAAGGAAAGAGATTGAGCGGATTTGATCCAGGGCATTAATGCATGGCTGAGATTTGGGATAGATTTTTTTCCTTAGAGAGACTTTTCTTTTTTGTAGATTATGAATGTAATATGTTATTTTAGGAATTGGTTAGCGCCTAATCCCAAATTTGATTGACCAAACATTTACTAGCGAGATTGCTTTCCTAATATGATCGAGAGCCTCATGTATAAATAAATACCTTAATAAAGGGTGATGATAGAGTTCTAGTTTTTCTATGAGTACAAGGCAATAAAGGATTTTATGCTATTATTCTTGTGTTCTTATCTTTTTATGCTTGTTAATTTTAATGGGTAATTCGACGATTGTCTAAATGTTGTAAAATCAACAATAGAGTTCTTTAATTATTATTATTTTTAAATTGATGGTAAGCTCTAAATTCAAAAAGAAAATACAATTTATGCTTTAATTTTTATTTAATTTTAGTTGGGATAAGAGTTAAATAAATCTTCAAATTTAGGCAAATAGTATGTAATCTTAGCAACTATGCTAATGGAGTGCTTAAATTAAAGAGAGGTTAATTACCTTTTATTTAGTCTTTTATATTATATATTAGTTCAATACTAACAAGTAATTAGAAAATACAGAAGCATTTGAAATTGCTGTATTTATTTCAAAATTTCAAACCTCTCAATCCCAAATCTTAAAGATATTATATATATATGCAAGCATGCATAAATATTGATAACAAGTTTGAAAATACATAAGCATTTGAATGAGCTGAATTTTTTTTCAAGTCTTTCAATCCTAAATTTTAAATAAATGAAGCGACAAAGCATGTAGCTAGATAATTAACAAGCCATTTGTGAGATAAAATCATTGATATTCACATAAGAACTTCCGCCTTCACTTGTTGCCTCTTTTGCTAATCTTTTCCATTTTATGACATTTCTTCGAAACTCCTGAACTTTCTCTCCCTCTGTCACTTGCTTTATACAACCCTCAACTTCTTGTCTTGTAACGATTCCCTTCTCATTCACTTTAACTCGAACCCCAACCTTCCAAACATCTTCAACCAGTTTGGCATTCGTTGGCTGATCTACAAAATGGGGCATAGCGACCATCGGCACACCCACACATAATGCTTCCAGTATTGAATTCCATCCACAATGTGTCATAAAGCACGCAATTGCCTTATGTGACAATACTTCAATTTGAGGACACCAGTTCACAATAACACCTTTTTTTGATATCTTGGACTTAAAATCTGTTGGGAGTTTAACTTGTTCGAGTTCCCTAACAACCCATATAAAGTATTTGCTGGATTGAGCCAGCCCCCATGCTATTTCCTCCATTTGCTCTTCTGTAAAAATCGCAACGCTTCCAAATGACACGTAAACCACAGACTTGGGTTCTCTTATATCTAGCCATTGTACGTAGCTTTCACCGTCTAACTCAAACAAATCAATTCTATCCTTGTGTAAAATTGGAACCAATGGTCCCACAGTCTTCACTGACCATATATCCGCCATCCACTTCACCACCTAAAACATACATAATCACATATTAGAAGAGTTAATGTCATCTGCTAGGTCTTTCGAGTATGATATACAAATTCATCATTTTAAATTTTTAAATTGATTATCTGTAATTTTTCAAAAATAATAAACCAATAAAAAACAAACAAATCAAAATGTAAACAAGTTTTCAAAAAAAGGGAAAACAGGAGCCGCATGTGAAAAACAAAACAGACCTTAACGAAAAGAGGAAAAGAAAAAAACAAACAAACACACATTATTAAGAATTGAGAGTGGCCGCCAACTGGCGGCCACTCTCAACCGCCCAAGCGTTCGCCCGCTGGTAGCGCAGTGAGACGCATCACGGCGCTTTTTTTTTTTTTTTTTTTTTTTAACCTGCAAAAAGTTTTGTATCTGCAGGAGTAAAATGCACCACAAATTCTATCGATCAGTTTTGTCTTGTTCAAAAAACCAGCAAAAATGTACAGATATAGTTGCTAAAGAAAAAAAAAAAAAAATCAAAAAAGGGATGGAACGAAGTGTAGTACCTGCTCTTCCAGGGAGTAAAATGTGTTTATGAGAAAGCAGTCAGCTTTGGGCAGGTTTGAGGCTTGACAGAAAATAAGCTCTGCAATTTGTTTTGCATTATCTGGGAATTGGAAAATGGAAGCCACATCTCTCAACTCCATCTCCGGCAACGAAGGTAAACGCAGCCTACAATCAGAAGCGGCAGTGATGGGTTGTTGGAGTTCCACGACGTCGCCACGTAGCATATGCCAATAGATGGCACAAAGCGAAGCAGGTTGAGTAAACAAAGGAGCCACCCGCAATCCACCCGCTCGCCCTACCTCCAAAAGCCACGGCATCATTGCATCGTGCACCAGAACTTTGGCCGCCTTTTTTTGCTTCTCAATAATCGCCGCCACCCCCTCGGAAACCGCCGCTGGCAAACGAGTAATTTCTTCGTAGTTGCGCGGCGAGTCGCCGACGTCAGTGCCATCGGAAATCAACTCCACCGCGTGGACGGGCTGGGATTGCGGCATGGATTTGGCTACCCTATGCGTGAGGACTAAGGTCACTCTCACGCCTCTAGCAGATAAAGAAGAACAGAATTGAAGCATAGGGTTTAAGTGACCTTGAAATGGATATGGAACCGCTATAACATCACCTAATTGTGTCTCCATATCCATATTCATATGTTAGCTTCACAGTAATATTTGCTTCGATCTTTTGAGTTTTGAAGATCAGATAAGAAAGAGATCTATGGCTTCTGACAATATATATAGTTGGGCTATACTAGCTAGCCACCTTTGTGGCAAGATAGCTTCTTAATCGGTGTGATCCAATTGAATCACACCAATAGCAATAATCCACTTTTTATTTAACATTGTAAATTATCAAAATAGTCCCGCCCAAATTCTGGTCTCATTAAAAAATTAAATGCAATTCAGTCAATTAATTACCATGTTACCAATTGGAGAGAAAGTTGTATATTTTTTTCCTAAAAAAGAAAAGAATCATTTTTTTATTTTTATTTAAAATTATAGATTACCAAAATAATCTAACTAAACATTGTACTGGGCAAAAAAAAATATAATTGTACGTTACATGTTAGCAATTGCTTATAAAGTTGTACGTTTCAGCATTTAAGACTTTTGACTTTTTATTTAAAATTATAAATTATTAACCAGAATAGTTCGGCCAAATACTAGGCAAAAAAGGGTTAATTTTTGTTGTATTGCAAGTTTGTTTGCAGGCCTTTAGCTCGTGAAGAACAGTAAGAACAAGAAGAAGAGTAGAGACAAAATAGAGGGTTTCTTATTCCTTTATACCACACCTATGATCATTACATTAGAATGACATATATATAATAACAAGTGTAACGGAATACAATAATGGAGACATAAAGGAAACCGTTACACAATAATGTCCACAATCATTACTATTTATAACACTCCCCCTTGGACATTATTTGTCGATGATCTAGCATCGTTAAAAACTTTCTAGGAAAACCCTGTGGGAAAAACCTAGACAAGAAAAGAGTACAATAGAAAATATATTCATGCCTCATTAAAAACTTCACTAGAAAAACCACGTGGGAAAAACCTAGTTGAAGAAAAGAGTACATGATATATATAAAAACATATATTGTATTTGGTCGCCTCATTAAAAACCTTAACTTAAGAAAACCCTGTGGGAAAAACTTAGTTAAGGGAAAAAGAGTACAACCATAAGCCTTCAGGGCGCAAACCGCATAATCTTCAGGATTTTGGGGTTTGTCCATTTAAGCAATTATTTTGCAACTTTTCCTTATTGTCATTACTATATCATACTCATGCCTCGTTAAAAACCACACTAGAAAACCCAATGGGAGAAAACTAGTGAGGAAAAGAGTACATGATATTTATGTATTTATGTGTTGCAAATAGTGCGCAATTGTTAGTCTTTTATGACTTAATCTTCAGGATTTTACGTTCAATGTTCAATCTTCCGGATTGATTCGAGTAAATGTACTTCCAGTCTCCCCCTGAAGATAACAATCTTCAAGTTCTACATATATTTCAAATTTTGAAGAGATGGATTGGACAAATCTTCTGGATTGTCACTTAGAGTAGTGTACAATAATCTTATGGCTCTTCTAGAGCTAATATAACATTTGTGCAACACAAGTGTTATTGTCCTCATTTTGAACATTTAGGGAAATTCATTGTATAACCAGTTTGGACTTGGCATTGCGGGGATCAAACAAAACAGCCAGTACCCAAGTAGCCTATTAAAACCGTATCATGGTTTCTTACATAAATGTCATGTCTTTGTATCTCGAAGATACTGGAGGATATGTTAATCATTATTCAAGTACTTCATTTGTAGGGGGAACACTAGATTTTGCTATCAATTTCATCGCAAATATGTTGCGATTATGGAACTTCTAGTTCTATAATGGTGCTCCAACGATAATGAAGTAAGGGACTTTGAGTCCAAAAAGGTCCCTTGTCTGCTTCAGGAGATTATTAGGCAACCTTTAGTTTGATAAAAACATGATACTTATATGCATATAGACATGTGAAAAAGCATTTTTAGATGTAGGCTGACTGGTGTATATAAAAAAAATCTTCAAAGAAAAACTCGATCTTCAAGTCGAGATAATACTTATAGCTTTCACAAGCTTTTTATTTCAAAAGTCTCAGTCTTTAAACATGAGCTTACATTATCAAGCTCTTTATATATTTCATTGATGTTTACACCATCAATCTTGACTGAGATAATAAATAATAAATAAGTTCATTATCAACCCTTTATCGAGTACACAATGGTACATATTATTCCTTCAATGAGGATATTAACTCCATTCGCAACCCTTTAAAGAGTAGATAATGACACA